GAAGGTTCTAGCCTCCATATAATCTAATCTAGGACTAGAATGTTTTCAGCCTCTGAGAGTTACTGCTTTATAAGCTCACCCTTTATTGTTCTTCCTGAGTTCTGGGCTGGCTGGTTCAATTCAGCTGTTCTGGCTCAAACTCCTCTTACAGCTAACTTATTCAATATGGCCTTTTCTCTTGGACTCTGAATTGCTCAGCTTGGCCTCAAACTAATACCTGCAAACTTTTCTAATCTCCTGGCTCGTTCTCATTATCTGGCTCATTTTGTCTTCATCTGAGCTCTCGCTCTGCAAACTGTCCCTATTTCTGTCCCTGTAAAACTGCCTCCTCTCTCTGTGCATTCCCCTTAAGTAGCTTCGCCTTTTTAATCTCTTCTTGTGAGAGTCGAGTGTATCCTATTCTGTCAAAATTTTCTATGATTCATCACTTTTTCTGCCACTCAATTAGACATGACTTTCAAACATGGGTGTTTCCTTCTACAAATTAACTTTAACTTCATTGTTTTGGATTAAAGGTGTGTACCACCATTCCTGGACCTAAGCTTTTCTTTTGTTGAAACTTGCTCTGTTTTGTTGAAACAGGCTGGTCTTGAATTCAGATCTGCTTGTCCCTATCTGCTGGATTAAAGGTGTGTTTTTATTCTAGCCAGATCACACAACCTAGAAGGTCTTTGGATGTGATCTCTTGCCAGATCAGCCATGCTCTGAATTAAAATTCCTCTGTAGTAGTCATTGGAACAAAGAAGCCAAGCATCAAAAAACAAAAGAAACTGATGAGAGAGATGTAGAGAGCAGAAGAGCTGCACGTCCTATAGCAAGGCAAGGGGTAGATGGCTAAAGGCAGATAGTGGGTACTGCATATTACTTCCTCTGAAAGGTTGATAGAAAAAAGATTTGGTTTGATCAAGGCAATCAGAGGGACTAGGAGATAAGATTTAGGAAGAAATAACTGTTTGTTATGTAAGGAAAAAGTTCTGATCATTTTACCTGCCCCATAAAGGAATCAACCAACTTTCACTCTATAGAATTGCAGTAATCATGGGGACACCCCGCTGAGAATGCTTCCTTGGATATTTCTTTCCTCTCTTCTTCTTCTGGTCTAGATTATATGACACTTCAAATTTTATCCAACTCTAAAATGTCATTATATAGCTATATCCAAAACATATGGTTACAATACAGATTGACTTCCAAGTGGGGGCACTGACACTCCAGCACCAAGGACAGCACTCATGCAACTAGCTCTACCTTTCTCTCTGCAAGATGGCTGGCTGATCAATCTGTGGGCAAAACATCAATGGGCAAAACACAAACTCACTAATCGGGCAAAATTTCAATTTACAGACCAGTGGATAAACCTCGTGCAAACACCTGAGGAGGCTTTGAAAATCTTATTATGGACACCAGGGTCAAAATTTCCATAGCATGCATGGGGCTGGGAGAACACCCCCCCAGACACTCATAATCAGAACAAAACTTACAAAATGTATTTATCCTCTGTGCAATTGTCAGCACTTAATGAATGAATCCACATGACTACAACTAGTAATTCATCATTTGGTAAGTTATTTCCCTTATTTATTTTGTTTTCTTTCCCATTAGAATGCAAACATTATTCAGGCAGAGAATTTTGTCTGCTCACTGAAGTTTTCCACAACTTTTTTTTTTGTCCTTTGTGACAAATAGTGTGTGCTTGATAGATGTTCTTTTAATTAACCAACCGTATCTAATGCTTTTAATAGCTTAATTAAAGCCGCACAGCCACCAGGGTTTTGTATTCAGGCAGTCTGATTTTAAAGTTTGGATTTACCATCACCTGCTAAGCTGATAAACCATCCTAATACACACAGAATGAAGATTCTTGAGTTCTAAATTCTCTCACCTTGTCCTGAATAAAGCTGGCAGGTAGAATAGGAAGGGATGAAACTGACTGGTAGTAAATTATTCAATTTGGTCTACACCCATTCTGTAATAAGAGACAATCCCTCCCTCCCTCCTTATTTGCTATAGTTTCAAAGGACTTTTTTGCATCTTTTGCTTTAAACATTAACATGATGCATCTTGCTGAGTTCTGTTTTTTACTTTATCAAAGCTATTGTCCCCATTTATGAGTGAATAACATTACTTCATCTTTACATCACCAAATATAATGTTTTCCTCTTCCATTCAAGTTGCTGATTTTCATGTTTCTTTATAATTTCGGAAACTTTGCTTTTCCTTTGTTTCTTTGCATATTGTTACTATTTTATTTTCTATTACTGGAGGGCCACCTGTATGTTGAAAACTAGATTTCAAAAATTCCCAGCATGTAAGCAGTAATTATTTATTTGCTTTTATCTTATATGAGAAAAGTACAGATTTTTGTTCAGATATTTCAGTCTTCATCCAATGCCTAGTGTCTTGCTGACATGATAGTGAATTTTGGACCCAAATCACAATCATTAATTTTTACATTGTGCTTTTCCTCTAAGTAATTGCTTTTTACATTAACCTCCTGTTTTGTAAAGTGTTTGGAATGATTATTTAGCATTAATGCAATGTCTAATTAGTTTCCTGCTCATTATGGGTCTTTTATTCCATTCTTCTCTATTCTTGCTTTTTTTGTTTTGATTCATTGCTCAGTCAATTGTTCTTTGAATGATTTATTAGAGGCAGGGCATGGAGGTGGCTCTGTGTACCAAGGAGCAGGCTTCCTGATGTATCTCCTTAAGAACAATGAATGTGCCTGTTGGAGTTTGTGGCTGATCACACTCCAAAGCCTGCTTTAACTGCACTGTCTGCTGGCCTCTCTGATTCACAGAATAGGAAAGGATCCAGGCAGAGATTTGTTAGAATGGGAATAGCTGCTCTGTTCCTATGACCTTTTGCTCATTTTTTTCAATACAACTTAATACTAAAGACAGCAATTTTAAGCAATGTGTACCGTTTTCCTTGCCAGAAAAATGCACTCTGAGTGCCCACACCTGACTGCTTTTCCTCTCACTGTGTGTGTGAGGCCAACTGCACCCTCAAACAACTTGCATAAGCATGCATACAATACTCTCCCTGCTGTGTATCTTTGCTGGAAATTACACTTCTACAATCGTAAAACAGATGATGTGGTGTGAAAGGCACAGGTAATTCATGGCCTTGTTCCTCTTGGAACTGCATGTAAGGCAAATGCAGCTTGAATACCCTAGTTGTTTTTCCCATGTGTCAAAACCTTGTGTCTTCCAGAGAAGGGGCTATGCAGTGATATTTGAGGAGAAAACCATCCACAACATGTTCGGTGTCACCTGATGTCTCTTTCACAGCCAGTCAATTTTTGGGTTAGAAAAACACCAGGCATAATCAATCACCAGTAGTCTTGGTGTGTTGCTAGCTCCCTGAGTAGTACTGTGTGGGGATGTGGTAACTTGAGACTGGGGCATAGGCTCTCATCCTCATTAGCAGACTGGAAACACAACTCTATCTCTCTCTATGTGCTGAGAGCCGAGAGAGTCATATGTTATGGGAGAGCTGTGCTGAAGCACAGTATGGGCCAGCGTGGGATTCAGAGATCTGAAAGCAAGAAGGGTCCCCAGATGCCTTGCTCCATGTTTATGTCTTCATGCTCAATACATCAGAGTGCTTCGTGCAGAGTGGGGACCAGATGGACAGGTGGAAGGCAGTCTGGCAGCCTCTCTTTGTAGCTTTACACTCTGTGAGGAGTGTCGCTTGAACCAGTAATAAATGCAGAACTGAAATATCAAAGTAGAATTTAAATGGGCATGTGGACAGTCTAAATGTTAATTATTTTCTCAGTCCAGGATGTTTTTTTCCTCAGGCAGTGGTTACTATCGACAGACTAAACTGTTCTCTGAACACGCCACCACTCTTGCTTTGGTCTCAGTCCCTGTTTGCTGTGACAGTGTCACTTCTGTAGAGACTCTGCATGATGCAGCATACTTCCGGCTTCCTCACAGATCTATAATCTCCTGGAGGGCACATACTAACCGTAGTTTGAACCACAGGAATTTGCACATGACAGTGGTCATCATATGCTTGATGAATAAATTATGAAAGCTTGGAATATGTCCATAAAGGCACCCTAAATGGGAAAATACTAACTTTAAGAAGTACTATCATACCCGATCAGTGTGATTTAAGAGTGAGTAAGTGGGTGGTAGTAAAGATTGTATGCTATAGAAATAAATACCTTAAAGATGATTATATTGCTCTATAAACCCCTAAAAAGTATAATGGAAGAATACTTGGAAGAAGATACCATCAAGGAAAAATTAAATAATTACATTACAAACCTTTCATAGTGTCATAATCCCCACATTGACACCCCCAAAAGAGCAAGGTAAGTTCTCTGTCATTGAAGGCGCTAACAAACGTTGACTTTAATGTGCTAATAGTAACTGAAGCATATTATTGTATTCAGGGGTAGGTGGGAATGAATGGAAAGGTGATGGATGTCCTTTGTGATTTCTTCCAGCCCTGTGAATGTGTTATGCTGAGTGACACAACTACTGGACCAAGGAAATACTTGACACAAAAATAGTTACTTTGTTTTTTTAAAAAAAATTTTTTGAATGTGACTCACAGTTATGATAAATCATTCAAAACATGAACTAAAACATGTTCCTTCTGCATCCAAACACTGATAGACATCAGAACTACAGATAAAAGACTCATAACTCAAGCTGTGTGATTTTCTTCAGTGTAGCACCTTTTCCATACTCTAATAGAAATTTACAAACATTTTAATAGAAGCCATACAGCTAAGCCTCATGACATATGCGGTGTCTATATTGCAACTACTTAAATCTTTATATTTGCAACTCTATATTGCAATATTTATATATATATGTCTTTCTATATTGCAACTCTTACGCATCAATGCAACCATCAATAATATGCAAATTAAGAGGTATTATTTCCAAATCTCAAAAGATGTGAGGGCTGGCGTTGGCTCACCACCTTTGCACTTGAAAGGGGGGGAATCTAAACCAGGTAAGTAATGTTGTACTTACTCCATTTGCTTTGCTAAGTGCCTGGAAGTAGATGCTGTAGCTCTTCAATGGGGAGAGGGGAGGATTCCAGTAGCCATTGTAGGTCTTGTTGTCTCCCACTGTAAATGGCTGGGTGACAGGCAGGTTGGAGGGCTTCAACTCGGCAGCAAAGTAGTGTAGAGAATCGAGGTTGGAGGCATTCCGGTAGCTCACAGGTACTGAGAAACACTCAATAATGTCAGCTGCTCTCCGGGACTTCTGAAGTCGCTCCTCCTTGACAACCAGCTGGTAAACACTGGACAAGAAAGAAGAAAGGTAGATGAGTCACTCTGTAGACTGGCAATCTCACTATCACTTACTGTGTGTTAATAACTCCTTTGTGAGGAGACAATGATATCACTTCAGTCTGGAAAAAATAATCCTTGCTCCTTTTTCAGATTTTCAACCTTATACCTCTGTAGAAATCTGTCTTCATACAAAGATCCCAATACCAGTTCATATAAGGCACATCCAAAATTTATCTCAGCCCCTACTCTATCTGAACCTTCTGCTCCTTCTGGGTGGATTTACTTTTTGAAGACTATGACCACCATCTGAACAGTACCAAGATCTTGAGTCTGGCTCATCTTAGATCTCACCTACGTAGAGCTCACTCTTCAATCCAACCAACAAACTCTATGGTCCAAGCCTCAGCAGTGTTACACCTGACCCAGCTTTCTCCCATTGCTAATGCTTAGGCCAGGTACTTGCCTACTTTCCACCTAGACTCAACTCGTTTCTTTGCCCCCAATTCATTTGATCATTCTGCCTAGCTATCCATTTTGCTTCCACTCATATAATACTATGTCCCTTCCAGCACTTCCATAGTTTCTCTTTTGTCCAAATTGTACAGCCTAAACTCCTCACATTAGCTGCTGAACTCTCTGTGCTTGGCTTTCAGCTTTCCTTCAGGTGATCATCTCTTGATGTCTACTAACTTCACCAGCTACAGACACCCATCAATGATACAAACATCCTTATGCCTGACCCTCTCCATCACCAGCTGTGCTTCTTCTATTTAAAACACCCACCAATGCTAGACATCTCTGCCTATAAAAGACCTCCGGTATTACCATGCGTTTTTATATTTACTCCATGAAGCCTGTCTAGATCTGTCCAGAATGCATTATTCCCAACTCATTCATCATTGTTGAATTGATTTTGCAAAAGCATGAGTTGAGGCACATGCCTTGCTGGCTCGATTATATCCTTAGCAAAAGTGAGATTGTGGCCTAGTTATCTCTGAGCCATTCTATCCCCTTTCCCACCACATACACACAGTGCCCAAGAGGTGCACGCCTGACTCTAAGTAAGTGATCAATGAACATCTGTTGAAATGAATCAACGTGGATTTAATTGAAGTTGAAAACAAGCAGGAAGCCAAATCTGGATGGATACAGAAACTTTAATAAGGGTAAACAGTGATTCCCAGGGGCGCCTGCCAAGTAGTCTCTTATCATCCCTTCAACTAAGATATAAGGAGGTGTAAGTGTGTGCAGAGAGATGACAGCCTTTACTGAATACCAACTGTATGCCAAGTATACAGATTCTTTTTGGGAAAGTACTCAAAAGTTGTTGAATTGGATAAAAAGTCCTTATCCTTTGGAGTGTTCACCATGTCTTTTTCTTAAACAAACACCTTTTAGAAGGATTCAGTTCTACTGTGAGATACATGATCTAAGACAGAAGACCAATTGTCTGAGAAGTGTTAAAATGTATGTGAATTAGTGAGGTGATTAGTGAGGTGATTGTTTAAATGTTCCCATCATTTAAACATAACATACCACATGCTTTATGAAAACAGAGTAGCATAGGCTTCAACTGTCCAGTTAGATTATCTATCCAAAGACACCGGATTACAAATCATGATTTGGGTAAAATACAGAGGCCAGGGCTACTGGATTAAGTTGAACAAAGGCTACGAAGGAACTCCTTCCAAGAACTTGTAGTATCACTGTTGGGGCAAATAGTCCTTACTTTTCTCTGAACATAAAGATGCTGATTCATGCAAATAAGAAACATGTGAGTGAGTGACACAGTTGGATGAATAAGGCTTTTGGATAGATATGAGCACGTCTGTTGTCTTTTGTGTACCTCTGAAGGAGAGCCTAGCTGTCCAGAGGATGTAAGCGTAACATAGGAGTGAATGAGGTCAGTGTCACAGGAAGTGTCACAGGAAGCACACACTGCATCTGAGCAGTGTGGATGAGAATCTACAGCACCCGAGTGTCTCACTCTAAAGGAGAGTGATGCCCAGAGCTGCTGAGATGGTGCAGGAGGATAGGGCATTTGCCGGCATGCCTGCTAACTTGAGTTTGAGCTCTGGAATTCACGTAAATATGGAAGGGGATGACTGACTCTGTGAGTTGTTCTCTGATATGACACTCCCATCACGGATCATGCACTCACAGATTACTGGATCAATTGATAAAAATTAAGGCAACATATAGATGAATGCAGGTGAGTATGTGGGCCCCAAAAGAAACATGGATGATATCTGAGCACGCACAGTGCTTCAAGAGTTCCATGTGACTGGGCATGTGTGAAAGCCTTCTATGCCCATAAATCCAGGTGAATCTAGTCGCTACATAAACTATGATTTAAATTTATTCCATTTTCATCTCTGGAGTCTTTCTTGAATGAAATAGCCCAATGTTTATCAGCTAAACTACGGGTTACTACCAAATAGCAGAAACACCAAAGACCCGAATCTAAAAAACATGAACAGGAGTAGATGGGTGAATGCAAAAAATTGTGAAGACACACATTGCTCTTTATGTAACAACAGCCTTAAGTAAAGTTTTTCATCTGTTAAGAGTGCTAATGACAGCTTGATTAATTGAGAGTCCTTTATTCAAGGGCCTCTGATCATTAAGGAAAGTAAAAGAAGAACTACACAGTCTCTTAGGTTTCCTACTGAACCTAGCAATAGAATCTAACAATACTACACACTGGATTTAGGTAAGATGCCTTCTAGTCAATTTTCCTATCCTGATCTGTATCCAACTAATTCACTCCTATAAACCCTGAAAAGAGCTGTGAGCCCCTGCTTTCTCCTAAGATATAGTCTGCTTTTCTCCTCTCTTCTTAACAATGTCCACATGATAAGACCTTTGTCTTGGTTTCTTAGCTGATCTTCTTTTTCTGCATTGAATCCCTTCCTCATCCTTGGTTAATCAATGAAGACCCCAAAGCCCTCGGAGGCTCTCAAGAGCCGTATTCTCCTCCTAGAATCGCTTACTGCTCTCCTGGACTATCCTGTGATAGGCTGGATCAAGACGAGCCCAAGGATGGCTTCATGTACTGCCCCCTCACTGGCATGAGAATGAAGCTGTGATGAGCCAAGAACAAGGGTCATTGCTGCATTCTGGACATTCAGTTGTTCAAGGCTGGTGAAAGAAAGTACTGCATCACCACAGACTTAGTCCCATCCTCTCTATCTAGCTGTTAAGTCTGCTTGAATTGACAAGCGGCTCTGCAATAATCAGGTTGAAGGGATGAGGACAAACCTGAGAGTTCAGTGATCTATGAGTGTCAACTCAGCAAAAGCAGCTCAGACCTCCTTCACAGCCGAGTTCCTTTTAAAAATGTTCTTTTCCCATAAACCAACACAATGCACAAAGGGACACCTGAGCATTTTTTTTTAAGTTGATGGCCTAAACTGCTTAGTTTGTATTCTACCTCATATGAAATCACAGAGAGGGAGAGAATAAGGACATTTTAGAGGTTAAGCTATGGAGTCAACATATGGTACACATATGATTGGGATTACTGTGTGGAAGCAAATTCAGCAGTTCCCACAGGCCCACCGCATCTGCAGCTTATCCATTCAGAGATAAACTGCAAGTGTCACCAGAAAGCTATAAGCCTTTTAGGCAGATGAATCTGTCTGCCAGTTCATCCATCTCTTCTCAACAACCAGGGGAGAAAGAGCAGCACGGTGACACGGAGAAAAGGGAAGTGGTGGAGGAGAGAGACAGGGGCATGTCTATTGTGTCTGTTTCCTACAGAAACTTTATTCTCACCATTCTCAAACACATACTGCCTTCACTTCTCTGGTAATGATAAATACATGCCTAAATGAGAATAACCCACTCTGAAGTCATATCTCCAACCTTGTGAAAATGGTTGCAACTACTAAGGGTTGTTTGTAGTAGGGACATTTTAATATGAAAATCTTGGTGTCTTAAGAAAAGAAGAATAAAGTAGTTCAAAATCCATTTCCTCATGCAGCATTCATTTCCAGTGCTGACTTCTGTCTCTCCCAATGTGAAGATGGGCATTTTTAATGTTTTCTTTGCATGGCTTGCTCTGGGGGTCTCCCCATGTGGGCTCTGAACGCCATGCTGTGTCCCAACTCCATCTTCACTATAAAGTAATGGCTAGAACATCAGCAAGAGTGTTCACTCTCCATTTCAGCACCTCCTCCCATTTGAGGCAACAACATTCCACTCTGGTACCAAGTCCCAAGATCTTCCATGTGGAACCTACAGGACTCCACAAGAAGCTTTGGGAAACGTGGCCACTTGGTCATACTGCTATTTCTGATGCCAAAGCAAAAAGTTTAGATAGTGACTCATATCTCTCACGTGATTCCTTTGATGAGACACAGTCACCTTGCTATTATTAAATTTTCCAGTGCCAATTTTTCTGTATGTGGGGCAGATGCCTAACAGACAGATGTAATACCCATTCGAGATGTTGATTCAGCTAACAGATGGAAAGTAGGCTTCTATTCCCAGGTGAAAATTGCCCAACTTTAGGCAGGTGCACATTTTGGTCCATGTTCTCCCAGAAAAAGACATGTGTTATTTCATATTCCTCCAGGGACAGACTCCAAGTCAAATGGTGTGTTATAGAAATCATTCCAAAATAAAATGGTAAGGGAGAGAAAAAGGAGAGAAAAGTGGGTGAGCCAACCTGGAGTGTGCTATCAGGTGAAATCCTGAAATACTGGTCTCAGCCCAATATCCCAAAATCTCAAGCCAAGGTCTTTGAACCTCCAAATGCAATCTGTTTTCAGATCTTGGCTTTCTCAGGCTTTCCCAACCATTTATGTGGGTCAGACAATGAGTCCCTAGGTGCCAAATAACAGTTATCCAAAGCAGGTCACACCTGAGAATCATTACATCAATGCACACAGCACCTGGAAGACTTGCACAGCATAGGAAAGGGGTCACGGCAAATCTACGGAGAACAGCAGCGTGTCCTACAGGGCGCTTTTAAACAATGTCTACAACAGTGATCCAGTGCTAA